TAATAAAGAGGAACTTAACGATATGCCTTCAGCCGAAGAAGACTGTGTGGGTGGGGACGAGGACAAGTTGACTATTTTTAGAAGTTATCATGGAGGATGTTATTAAGCAAATAGTAAAACTCAAGCCAAACAAATTCCCAGGGCCAGGCGAGGTGTTTGCCAGGGTGCTTAAAGAATGCAAAGAGGAGCTTTTAAAGCCACTGTCTACCATATTTAATAAATCAGTAGAGTAAGGAAGAGTGCCAGAGTCGTGGAAAGTTGCTAATGTGGTTCCAATTTTCAAGAAAGGAGATAGATCACTTGCGTCAAACTATCGGCAAACAGTGCGCCAAACTTTAAAATCAGCTTTTACAAAATTTTCTCCTACAAATCTATTCCATTATATTTTAAATCTGATTTCTTTGTGATCACTGTTCCCAAGCTCACTCTCTATTTCGTTGTCATGTATTTGCATTTCCTTGTTAGTTAACACTAAATCTAAAATATAATTTTCACACGTTGGCTCCTTAATGTGTTGCATAAGGAAGCAATCATCAATTAAGTTTAGAAAATCTTCCGCTTCATTATTCCCTGTACTATTAAGCCAGTTTATTCCACTAGAATTAAAGTCACCCATGACACAAATACTATTTGACATAGATGCTCTAGATATTTCAGCCAATAGATGTAAGTAATTATCAAAAGAAGGCACCAAACCGGGAAGGCAATGTAGCACCATCAAATGTGCGGAATAATCAGAGGGCGCTAAATATCACCAAGGATGCCAATACGAGAACAGAAACGCATAAGGCGAACGATATCAAAAGTATCCGATTCACCAAGAATTCTATCGAGGGACAAGTGACCGCGAGGGACGGTCGGAAAGCAAGACACACGCTCGTCCTGGAAGTCAGGACATTCAACAAGGATATGCACGACTGTAAGAGGGACAATGCAATTTGGACAATAAGGAGCAGGGCGGCGCTCCATTAAGTGACCGTGAGTTAAGCGTGTATGGCCAATATACAACCTTGCCAGAGCCGTTTCCCATCGCCGGTTACGGTGGTAGGAGGAAGGCCATGGGGACACACTATGCTTAAGAGTACGCAGTTTGTTACCAACAACAGAAGAACAACAACCCTGCCAACGGGCAAGGATGGAGGAATGAATAACCGGGTAAAAGTCGGAATAAGGAATACCTTTACTGGAGATGGGACAAGAGTGGATAGCTTCTCTAGCGGCAGCATCCGCACGCTCATTTAAAGAAACACCAATATGGCTGGGAACCCAGCAAAACTCTATGGATTTAAATTTACTGGAGATAAGAAACAGCCAATGTTGAATCTCGACGACCACTGGATGGACTGGATTAAAGGACCCTAGAGCCATGAGGGCACTACGAGAGTCAACTACAACCACAAAGGAGGATTGACAACGAGAAAGCAGGAGACGAAGAGCATAGAGAATAGCATAAAGTTCTGCGTGAAGATGCTAGTCTCCAGAGGTAGGCGACACACGTAAGTGTGGTCAGGAAAACAACAGTAGCCTAAACCGTCTGCAGACTTAGACCCATCGGTGAAGATGGAAATGGAGTGGGAATGTACAAAGTTTTGGAAGGGGAACCCTCCATGGGGCAAGGATGGAACAATACGAGGAGAAACATCGGTAATACAAATCGAAAGATAATCCTGTAAGCGAGATATCCGGACAGAAAGAGAGAGGTGATGAAGAGGAACAAGAACTACAGGAGGGGTAAAAGTCAAAGCACGACAGAGGCGAGAGTAAGGATGTTGTAAGGACCGCACATGATAGCAAAGACAGTAGCGATCACGGCGGTCCTGAAGAGAAAGAAAGCCAGTGTCAACATACAAGCTAATGGTGGGAGTCGAACGAAAGGCACCAGAGCTGAGGCGCAACCCAATATGGTGCAGAGCATCAAGACGGTAAATAGTAGAAGGAGATGCAGACGAGTAAGCAGAACAACCATAATCGAGTTTAGACAGTACGAGAGAGGAATGTAAAGAGAGGAGCGTGCGCCTATCCGCTCCCCATGAAGTACAGGACAAAACCTTAAGGAGGTTAAAGGCCTTAGAGCATTCAATTCGGAGGTAAGAGAAAAGGTAACAAAGCTGGAGAAATGGTCACTGCCATGGTGGTCATCAAGAACCCGCCACGAGAAGTCCAAGTAAAGAGACGACGTGCAGAGAGAAAGATCGAGACAGGAAAGGGTGCAAGTCTGAGAGTCCAAATGAGTGTGCTCACCAGAATTCAGAAGAAACGGGGAAGAAGAGAGGACGAACGGTTCTAACTCATCCTATATCCTTTTCACCTGCATTAATACAAATAATGGCTTTGTTCCCATTTCCAGCTATAATATTATTCATGTTAACAATATCACCAATTCCTGCTCCCGGAAAGCAAACTCTTACCTTGTTCCCTCTAGCTCTGGTACAAATATATCTATCCAAATACCTCACCTGGGAATCTCCCACAACCAAAATTGGAAATCAACCAGGCTGCTGAGTACCAATCAGGCTCCCAATAACATTCGTTTTCCAGCGCGACGAATAAGTTGGAAGTTTTTAGGACATCGGTAGGCGGCGTTGCCAGATTCTTCTTAACCGTGTCCTTTGCGACATTCCAAGGCGAACACTTGCTAATACTGTTCTCCTCCTCCTCGGTTTCCTCTTGACATTGTTTCAGCTGTCGTAGCTCCTCTCGTAGGGAATCCAGCTCTGTCCTCAGAGCTCCACGTAGATTCACCAGTTCCTTCTCTACACCTTCCATTATTACTATGATAGCACAGTCGGAGCTCCAGATAATACACCCTCTCACTGTGAATCCCTGCACCTATGTTGTCCATCTATCTATCCACCCTTCAATCTACTGTCTGTCTCTATCTCTACCTCTGTCTGTCTGTCTGTCTGTCTGTCTGTCTGTCTGTCTGTCTGTCTGTCTGTCTGTTTGTCTGTGTCTCTATTATACAAAATATAATTGTGTAATGTGTGTGTGGTTGCCAGTGTAAGAAGCTTTGTGGTGTAGAATGTTAATAAGAGAATAGTCACCCCTTACTCTGATAAAGTGCAGCTGCGTGAGAAACCTTCGAAGCTCTGGAAGAATCGTCCATTGTATGTGAGTAAGGCCAAATTATTGACAGCAGAAAATTTCTGTTAATTTTTCCGACATCAGTGAATAATGTTGCATACTACTATAAGAAAATAAATTATTTGAAAAGTTCGTTTTGAAAAAATAACATTGCCGCTGGCGGGCAATGTTAAAAATTGTCGTTGTGGTGTGAATGTGACCGTGGCACACCACAGCCAGCCGCCGCGACTCGCCACAGTCACTCCCACCGCAGCCAGCCGCCACGGCCCTCTGCTGCCACGGCCCACTACAGCCAACCACCACGGCCAACTACAGCCAACCACCACGGCCCACTTCAGCCAACCACCACGGCCCACTTCAGCCAACCACCACGGCCCACTACAGCCAACCACCACGGCCCACTTCAGCCAACCACCACGGCCCACTTCAGCCAACCACCACGGCCCACTTCAGCCAACCACCACGGCCCACTACAGCCAACCACCACGGCCCACTACAGCCACAATCTACCCTATCTTGAGATTATCTTGAGATGATTTCGGGGCTTTAGTGTCCCCGCGGCCCGGTCTTCGACCAGGCCTCCAACCCCAGGAAGCAGCCCATGACAGCTGACTAACACCCAGGTACCTATTTACTGCTAGGTAACAGGGGCATAGGGTGAAAGAAACTCTGCCCAATGTTTCTCGCCGGCGCCTGGGATCGAACCCAGGACCACAGGATCACAAGTCCTGCGTGCTGTCCGCTCGGCCGACCGGCTCCATACAGCAGTACCAATTTCTACCATCTAATTGGTCATTAGTCTGTATTTATGATGGTCCACATAGTTACAAATCTTATAATCTAAACAGGAGGATGGGTTGGAATTTTAATTATGCCCGGTAACCATTTCATTAAAAATAGTAAAGGATTTAAGAAAAAAATGCCGACTTCTATTTTCAACATATTTTAAGCAACACAGAATGGTAGACACAAAGAATCCATCTAAAGCCTAACAAACTGCATTTGTCAGAAGGTGAACTCAATATGACATTTGCAGAAAAAAAGTCTTCATTAAAATTGCACCCTTCACCATACAAAGTATGTGATGTCTATATATTGTCCGACTCTTCTTTGAATACTAAGCTCCAAAATGAACTTCTTGACCACTTGCTAAAAGACTATTGGACTTTCCTATAAAAAGTAAGTGATACAGATTCACTTTAATAGAAATATTATGCTATCTTTTGCATATGGTTACATCACTGCCATACTAATTAACATGCTACACTTGCTCAGCCACACCTATCAAAACAACCTTGCTCTTTAGTTTAATCTTCTTAAATGCACAAAAAGTAACTTTCAAACACAGAAAAAATTAACCCCCTAGCTGCCTCTGCTGATTTCAATAATGTATGAACATTTTTAGACAAGTATTGTCAATTATAAAGCAGAACTCCAATGTTCCATGGGAAAAAGCTTAGCTTGAGCATTAGTTATGTCTCTCCTAACTCAAACAATTAATTGTGTAACACTGTACTAGTGATATAATTTTGAATAACGGAATTCATGTCATGATAGTACCGTTTTCTAATGTAATAAAATTTACTTATGAGTATATACAGTAGCCATCATGGTAAAAATGGACAAATAATAAGAGAAAATATTTTGCGTAGTGTGGTGAAATTGTGTCTTAATGAAGAATGCTTTGTTATATGGTAACTGACCCATCAAAACACGCAGCTATGGGGTTAATGAGATAAAACATCATTTACTAACACTAGCTACTTTCCCATTTTGTGTTTTGAGTAGTTTAAAAATCAGGTGATGAGCTTTTTTTTAACCCCTATTACCAAGTATCCCACTTACGTCAGTACTGTAATAATTTTTAGTGGTAATTAATTACTGTTTATGTCTGCAAATCTAGGTTTTATGTTTCACTAATGTGAGTCACCAAGTTCATCCTCTAAGTCATCAATTTGCTGTATTACCTCATCTTTCTTTTTCACCTTCTCTAGTTGTTTAGGTTCTGGATTCTTAAGTTCACCACTAGCAATCTGTTTTTCCAACTTTTCAATATCACGTAACTTTTTCTTAAGATTGCGTAATCGTTTTGTGGGATCAGAAGCAGATGGCTGCTTCCCTCCTGTATTTGAAATGTGCACGTTTTCTAAATCTTTCGTTATATCCGAGTCTGCTGCTGCAGCTTTCTTTTTTGCTGCTGCTGCTTTCTTTTTTTGTGACTTGGACATGCCACCTTGTTTTGTCGGTAATGTTAACCCAGGAATGCCTACATACTCACTAGTTGTACTCACCTAGTTGTGTTTGCGGGGGTTGAGCTCTGGCTCTTTGGTCCCGCCTCTCAACCGTCAATCAACTGGTGTACAGATTCCTGAGCCTACTGGGCTCTGTCATATCTACATTTGAAACTGTGTATGGAGTCAGCCTCCACCACATCACTTCCTAGTGCATTCCATTTACTAACTACTCTGACACTGAAAAAGTTCTTTCTAATGTCTCTGTGGCTCATTTGGGTACTCAGCTTCCACCTGTGTCCCCTTGTGCGTGTGCCACCCGTGTTAAATAATCCATCCTTGTCCACCCTGTCAATTCCCCTGAGAATTTTGTATGTGGTGATCATGTCTCCCCTAGCTCTTCTGTCTTCCAGCGACGTGAGGTGCAGTTCACGTAGTCTGTCCTCATAACTCATGCCTCTTAGTTCTGGGACTAACCTAGTGGCATACCTCTGAACTTTTTCCAGCTTCGTCTTGTGCTTGACTAGGTACGGACTCCATGCTGGGGCTGCATACTCCAGGATTGGCCTTACATATGTGGTATACAAGGTTCTGAAGGATTCCTTACACAGGTTTCTGAAAGCAGTTCTGATGTTAGCCAGCCTCGCATAGGCCGCTGATGTTATTCTTTTGATGTGGGCTTCAGGAGACAGGTTTGGCGTGATATCAACTCCCAGATCTTTCTCTCTGTCCGTTTCGTGAAGGACTTCATCTCCCATTCGGTATCCAGTGACTGGCCTCCTAGTTCCTCCTCCTAGTTTCATTACCTTACATTTACTTGGGTTGAACTTTAGTAGCCATTTGTCGGACCATTCCTTCAGTTTGTCTAGGTCATCTTGTAGCCTCATACTATCCTCCTCTGTCCTGATCCTCCTCATAATTTTCGCGTCATCAGCAAACATCGAGAGGAACGAGTCAATTCCTTCTGGAAGATCATTTACGTATATCAGAAACAGTATAGGTCCAAGGACTGATCCCTGTGGGACTCCACTGGTGACTCCCCGCCACTCCGAGACCTCACCTCTCACGGTGACTCGCTGTGTCCTGTTGCTTAGGTACTCTCTTATCCAGTGGAGTACCTTCCCTTTCACTCCTGCCTGCATCTCCAGTTTGTGCACTAGTCTCTTATGTGGTACTGTGTCAAAAGCTTTCTGGCAGTCCAGAAATATGCAGTCTGCCCAGCCCTCTCTCTCTTGCCTGATTTTTGTTGCCTGGTCATAGAACTCAATTAATCCTGTTAGGCATGATTTGCCATCTCTGAACCCATGTTGATGTTGTGTTACAAAGTTCTTTTGCTCCAGATGTTCCACTAGCTTTTTTCGCACAATCTTTTCCATCATCTTGCATGGAATGCAAGTTAGGGACACTGGCCTGTAGTTCAGTGCCTCCTGCCTATCACCCTTCTTGTATATTGGGACTACATTGGCCGTCTTCCAAATTTTTGGCAGTTCGCCTGTTACCAGTGACTTGTTGTACACTATGGAGAGTGGTAGGCACAGAGCCTCTGCTCCTTCCTTAAGGATCCATGGTGAGATTCCATCCGGGCCTATAGCCTTTGTCACGTCCAAATCTAGCAGATGCTTCCTCACCTCCCCACTGGTAATCTCAAACTCCTCTAGTGGTGTCTGGGTTGGTGTTCCCTCCCTTATCTCTGGGACTTCTCCTTGCTCTGAGGTGAAGACTTCCTGGAATTTCTTATTGAGTTCCTCGCACACTTCCTTGTCGTTTGTAGTGAATCTTTCTGCCCCTATCCTCAGTTTCATTACCTGTTCCTTCACTGTTGTTTTCCTCCTGATGTGGCTATGCAGCAGTTTGGGTTGAGTCTTTGCCTTGCTCGCTATGTCATTTTCATATTGCCTCTCTACCTCTCTTCTCACCCTGACGTATTCATTCCTGGCGCTCTGGTATCTTTCTCTGCTCTCTAGTGTTCTGTTGTTTCTATAGTTTCTCCATGCCCTTTTACTTAGCTGCTTTGCTAGCTTGCAACTCTGATTAAACCATGGGTTTCTCATTTCCATTTCCTTTTTTTCCTTTTGGACTGGGACGTACTTGTCTGCTGCCTCCTTACACTTCTGTGTGATGTAGTCCATCATGTCTTGAACCGTCTTTCCTCTGAGCTCTGTTTCCCAAGCTATTTCAGTTAGGAATTTTCTCATCTACTCATAGTTTCCCTTCCGGAATGCCGGCCTCTTGATTTCTGGTCCCTTCCTTGAGTACATTAACCCTTCTTCGACCAGATATTCAAACAACAGTACACTGTGATCACTCATACCCACGGGGGCTTCACGACCGATTTCCCTTATGTCTGAATCGTTCAGAGTGAATACTAGGTCGAGTCTTGCTAGTTCATCATTGCCTCTCATTCTCGTGGGACCCTTGACATGCTGACTTAAAAAGTTTCAAGTCGTCACTTCTAGCAGTTTCGCTCTCCATGTTTCCTCACCTCCATGTGGTTGTCTGTTTTCCCAGTCTATCCTTCCATGATTAAAGTCCCCCATTATGAGCAGATGGGATCGGTTTCTACAGGCAGCAGCGGCTGCTCTCTCAATGATAATATTAACTGCCATGTTGTTTCTGTCATACTCTTGCCTGGGTCTTCTTTCATTTGGTGGTGGGTTATATATCACTGCTACTACTACTCTTGGTCCTCCCATCGTCAAGGTGCCTGTGATGAAGTCTCTGAACCCTTCACAGTCCGGAACAACCATCTCCTCGAAACTCCATTCCTTTCTCATCAGTAGAGCCACTCCGCCTCCTCCCCTTCCTTTCCTCTCTTTCCTTATTACAGTGTAGTCCTGGGGAAACACCGCATTTGTTATGACTCCTGAGAGTTTTGTTTCTGTGAGTCCAATTACATCTGGGTTTACTTCTTGTGTTCTTTCCCTAAGTTCACTGGCCTTGTTTGTAATCTCATCTATGTTCGTGTACATGACCTTGAAGCTGACTCTCTTCTGTCCATTCTCAGTTTCTGTTGATTCCACTGGAGTTGGGGGGCAAGGCATGTCTGGGATGGGTGAGCCTAGGATGGGTGACCTGAGGGGTCTGGGGTGTGAGGGGGCTGGGAGGGTCTGGAACAGGGGGGCTAGGGGGGAGGGGCTGTCGTGAAGCGGCTGAGGGGGTCCGGGGTTGGGGATTAGTTGGGTCATGCGATGGGGGAGCTGGAGGGGCATGTGGTGGGAGGTCACGGGTTGGGGTATGCAGGGTAGACTGGGATGGGTTGACAGGGAGGTCAGGGGTTGGCAAGGGGAGGGGAGCCTGGGGAGGGGGACCTGGAGGGAGGGGGGTGGGGTTGGGAGGAGAACTTGGGATGGGAAAACTGGGAAGGGCACAGGCTGGAGAAACAGGGAAGGGCAAGGGGTGCAGGAACAGTGAGGGTCTGGGGTAGGGGCTAGAGGAGAAAAAGGGCATGCGAGGAACATGGGAGGGTCTGGGGTAGGGGCTGGGGGAGAAAAAGGACATGGGGGAACAAGGGAGGGTCTGGGATCGGGGAACATGGGGGGCATGGTCTGAACGGGGACTTTACTGTCTGGGGAGGTGCAGGTGATTGGTGGGGGATGGCTGAGAGGTTGGTTGGTGGGAGGCTTCTGTTACAATCCTCCCTGGGGATGCTGGTCTGCTGGTGGGAGTATTCACACTCCCTTCTGAAGTTCTTGGAGACACTGAGCTGAGTCCTGTGGCTCCCACTTCCCCACCCCTTTCTCTGCGTCTCCTCCTTGTTTCTGCAGCCTTCCTTCTCTCCTCCCTTGTCATGTCCCTTTGCATAAAAATGTCCTCGTATCCCCCTAACCTCACAAGTCTGCTCTTCCTGGATAGGATTTTCTCCCTTGTTGCCTCGTTCGTGAGCACTAACTTTATCAATCGTTTCCTTTCCCTCTTGTAGATGCCCAGCCTGAAAACCTTCTCTATGTTTCCATCTAGCTCCTCCATATCCACTCCCTCCTAGATCTCTGTCATGGTTGCTCGGTCCCTCCTTCTCCACTCCTCCCGATTGGATCCCTCTGGTTCCTGTACTTTGCAACTATAATTGTTCGTTTCCTTTCCAGCATTTGCTCAGTGCATTTTGCTGCTTCCTGTGAGGTAGCTGCTTTCATAGCTGCTGCCTCTAGAGTGCAAGTGCCTTGGCACTTGGGCTGTTCTGCAGTATTTCTGCAAAAAAGAGTCCCCCTGGAAGGAGCCTTCCATCAGCTTCGTCCCCTGTTTCCAGGAGGTTGCATACCCTGTGCTGGTTTGAATTCTGATTTTCCCTGCGTCTCTTTATCTCCTCTCTGGCTTCCTCTAACTCACTCCTTTGGTTCTGTATTAACGTTTGCATTTCCTGCAGGTCTCTGCCAAACCTCTCTTTCATGTCCTGCAGGTCTCTGCTGAATCCCATTTTCATTTCTTGCAGGTCTCTGTTGAACCCCATTTGCATTGCCTGCAGGTCTCTGTCGAATCCCCCAAATGTCTGGTTGAGCCATTCAAAGGTAGTATCCACTATTCTCCCCTGTCCCTGTATTTGGTGATGTCCCTCCATCATTTTCCCTGGCTGAGGGAAAAAAACGTCCTGGCTTTGTGTGTGTGTGTGTGTGTGTGTGTGTGTGTGTGTGTGTGTGTGTGTGTGTGTGTGTGTGTGTGTGTGTGTGTGTGTGTGTGTATTAGAGTCTGTGTGTGTGTGTGTGTGTGTGTGTATTAGAGTCTGTGTATGTGTGTGTGTGTGTATTAGAATGTGTGTGTGTAAGTGTGATTTGCTCTCTGATGGCAGCTGCTTGGTTTTCCCAGGAAATGACTGGTCAATGTTGCTTAACTTGACAACAGCAACTCCCCAAACACGCTCCCCTCGGACACCTGCTGTGGGCAACCCACAAGGTGGTGCCTGACCTTACCTGTGCCCACCCACCTCCACCTGGCCTCGTCAACCAAACATGCTAAAAAACATATTTGTTTAGCACGTTTAGTTGAATAGCTGAAATAATCAGGTC